TCTCTCTCTCTCTCTTTTCCTCTCTCCACCTCCCCCCACTCTATCTGAACAAAAAATGGAAAAATGTCCTCAGGTGAGGATAAAAAACAAACAAAAAAAGGGACCCGGCTATACACAGCAGTGCACCTGCCAAGGAAACTTGCCTATTATCTGCTTAGTTTACTGAAAGTGCTGAAGACTGAGGGAAAACAACATTGACAATATTCTGCTTACTTGCTGAGCAGTTAGAACATCAGCCTGAGGACTGAAAGGTCTCGGGTTCAATTCCCGGTCAAAGGGCACATACCTGGGTTGCAGGTTTAATCCCCAGCCCTGCTCAGGATCATGTGGGAGGCAACCAACTGATGTCTCTCTCACACTGATGTTTGTTTGCGCCTCCAACACTCTACCTAAAAATCACTGGAAAAATATACGTAGGTGAAGATTAACAAAAAAGAAAATAGTCTACCTACTCAACTATTTTCTGAAAATTCAGGAAAGGCCACACCAGTGCAAATTACAAATCAATCCAGTTAGCATAATCTGAAGTGGATAAGGTAACCTGTCCCCCCCACCTACCGACCCAGCCTGCCACCCTCTCAGGCAGGGGCAGGCTGATCTTTACACCACACACAGCAGGTGAGTAACTCTGGCAAAGGGTAGACAGGCACAGACAGGTCTATGTGTGGCACGCTGTGGCCTTGTGGAAACCCAAGGTTTGCTGCCCTGGAAGTTTTCGGAGTTCTGCTGCTCTGTTGGATGCAGACAGCAGGGAGGCAGCAGGGAAGAAACAGTAAAGGAACAGGGCAGAAGTAGTGAAGAGAACAAATGGGTCTCAGTGACTGGGCCTGGCATATATCACACTCGGGCCAACACCTACCTCAGAACCTGGCATCTGACAGAGAAAAGGCAAACCCCAATAAATCACTCAGAAAATGGGCAAAAGCTAGACATGAGTACCCAAGTACAGAGGAAGAGAAAAACTGTGTGGTGACCGTCAGAATGGGGATGCTGCATACAGGCTCTTTCTTCATTTAGAACACATCTAGTTAGTGCCTCTTGTGTGCAGGTCTCATGCTAGTGTTGAGGAAAAAGTGACAGACAAGACACCAGGGGTGTACAGGCCAGAAGCAGGTCCTGACTCAAGAGAATGGTATAGAGAAGCATCTGAAGACACTGAGTACTCTGACATTTGAACTGAGGACAGAAACCCACTTGCAGCCAGGTGAGAAGAGACATCTGGAACTGTCCAGTCAAAAGCCAAGGAGCTGCCTGGTCAATGTGGCTCAGTGGACTGAGTGTTGTCCCATGGACTGAGAGGTCCTGGTTCGATTCCTGGTCAGGGCACATGCCCAGGTTGTGGGCTCAATCCCCAGTAGGGGGTCATTGCTGTTTTCTCTCACATCAATGTTTCTCTCTCTCTCTCCCTTCCTTTCTCTCTAAAAAAAATAAATAAAAACACATTAAAGAAAAGAAAAAAAAAAAAAAAAGAAGCCAAGATCCTGGGGGACATGGTGAACTCTGGCCTGGCTGTTGGGTCACTAATATGAGCCATAGCCCACACTCTGGCACCCTGCAGGTGGCAGGTGTACAGAGTCCTCCCCCCACAGACTCAGCACTAACATAGAAATAATCAGCAGGCCCAAATATTGGTGGCAGACATCAGCGCTTGCTGGACTTTGTCCATACCTGTCATAATCGTCATGTTCCTCCTATCCTTCAGAACTCCTCCCTCCCTCTCTGCATGCTTTGGGCTCAAAGGACATGGGCATCCTATACACTCAGCAGCTCCCACCAACATGACCCTCAGAGGAGCAGATGGGAAGAAATAGAGTTATGCCTACTCTCGAGTCATCCAAGACGTGGGCATATCAACTACACCAAATCTTCCTGTTGACCCTCTGTGAGAGCCAAGACACAGAGGACACAATTGTCTTAATCAGGACCTTCACTACCCTCAGTAAAACGGGGGTACTGCACATTGCCCCAGGGCATCCACAGCCCTGGAGCAGAATCAGATCTGGCAATGTACTCGGGAGAAGCTGCTCACTGAAGGCTCTACCTTCTTCCTGCCAGCTTCCACAACCCAGACTTCTTATCGCTTATTCTCTGGAGCGTATTTCCCCAGCAGATGGTCCAGTGGAACCTCTTTGCAAAGTGTTCTGCTCTGTCCAAGGAGAGCACAGACTCTCCCCTAAAATCACTGCTGTGTATTAGGAAAAAAAGCAAACCTCATCAGAGGAAGGTTTCCAATTCTACGAAAATAAGCACAGTGCACATCAGCATCACCAGACTCCAAGAGCCACTGTGGGCACTTACAGGGGTCAGTATGTTGTCACATATGGCTCATCACTGCCATAACTAGAAAAGGCCATTTTGATGACTCACATGTTTATGAAGCTGGGGAGATCGATGTATGCTCACACACGTGTCTGAAAAACAAGCTAGACAAGACTTCAATGTGGGTAAGTCATCTGGATAGCCCAAGGAAGGGGGTTTGGTTACACACCTGTCACCAGTGGGGACCTCCCTGCCATGGGTCATCTGCCCCTAGACAGAAGAACCATGAAAGTTTAGGCTAAAAACAAGAAGCCTAGAAACATGCTGATAGCTTTTAACAATAAAGGGTAAAATGAAATACATGTACATCCTTTGTAAGAGAATCAGAAATTTAAAAATTCCTGAATATTACATCTTTTTCAAAGGAAAAATTCCTATGATGCTGAATTCCTGAGAACCAGCTGTTCCAGAACTTCCAAAACCCCCAACAGTCTCCCTTAGGAAGCCTTCGGAGGAGCAGAAAGAAGTATGCTCAGGTCCACCAACTTCACCCTGATAAAGAACAGTGGACCCTGGGGGTCAGAGCTGATGCCCTGACAACAAAGGCCCACTCCTCATGTTGCACACATCTTCACCTCAATGAGCCCTAGACACAGGGGCCAAGCACTCTGCCTTTTCCACTTAATGCCATGGGGGACCCGCAATAACCTGTGAGTGTGCCCTGGCCTGAAGAGCACAAGGAACCTTTCTAAGAGTGGGCTTTCTTCTCCATTTCTGGCAGATGACCCTCCACTGGACCAAACATCTCCGCTATCTTAGGCAGGTCTCCATATTTTACTCAGTCAGCATGTCATAGGAAGTGTGGCAATGCACTGCAATTTGACAGAGGGGACAGAAAGCGGTTCCTATCTTTCCAGTTAGTGTTTCTGTGTTTCCTGAGTGCTCACTGCACTGGGCTGGAGCACCTGATGATGAGGCTAAGCAGACCCTCATAAGTGTAAATTATGTCCCGGGGAAATACTGCTGCCCCTGACAAAGCCCAAAACCTCTCATACTTTTCTCATACACCATCAGCAGCCCAGCAGCAGGGCTCCAGGAAGCAACACTACCACTGGAAAAGCAACTCAATTACCCACTGTCTGAGTCAGGAGGGGCACCTCTGACAGTAGCTGCCAAGTGTCCATTAAGGTGGTGTGGCTAGTGAAGGGGCCTGTTAAAGGATCTCAATGAAGGCCCTCCCTATCACACCCCTGGGGGACCTCACACTTTTCCTCCCTAACCTAAAAACAAACCCAGAGTTCCTCCTTCCTTATCCTTCCAGATATCCCCTCTAAGCAAGGGCTGAGAGCACATGCTTTGAGGGGTGGCACAGCATGAATCTGGCACAGCTGCCCACTGTTGAACCTGTTACAGCAGGAAGGGCATTCAGCCAGTTCTGGTAATCCAATCTTGACAAGTCCTAAATCAAAAGGGTCGGAAAAGCTGCATCCACACTCTCAGCTGCCCACAGGCAAGCAACTTAGCAAAGAGCAAATGCTCAGAGCAGTCAGACAGGACTGACAAGAGCCCAAGAAATAAAGCAACAAAGGGTGTGGAGAGCAAGAACTTGAAGTAAATTAGTTAGACAAGACAGAACTTTCAGAAGCACAAATGGTCCTTGGAGAGACTGGATGCTGACATACTACAAGCAAAATCCCTGGTTCTCCTAAGGAAACACCCTGTGCGGTCTGGGACAAGACTCCCTTTGCAGAGGGGGGATGGCCACACTGCTTCTTAGCCAAGATAACTGTTTTTTACATTAAATACACAAACTAAGGGGTGCTCAGACAAGCGCTGGTGATTTGTGTTTTAGCCATGCAACCAGAAATTTTAAAGGAAAATTTAATAACACCATGAATGGGGTGTTTTCTTCCAGCACAAGGTGTTGATTCCCTGAGCATTAAGTAAACACTTTAAGAGAAAAGCCTGCCTTTGAGTCACCCCCATCCCCCACCCCCATCTGCACCACACCACGGGGTTGTGAGAAAATCATAGCCACCCTTGGCACACCTTGTCACAGGTTCTCCACCTGGACCCCACAGAATCCCGGCCGCCACCACTGGATGCTCCCCCGCTCAAGTACATTCTTCCTCTAGCTCCTGAACATTTTCTTCACACACCTCCTAGGTCAGTTGTCCCCCAGCAGCCACCAAACTGCTCTGAGATGAAAGCCCTTCTCCAGAAGGCTCACAGCAAAATCTCAGCCTCCCGTTAAGCGATAGACTCTAAAAAGGCCTCAAGCTGATACTTAAAGTGCCAAACTGATTGTCCGCTCAGGATCAAGCTGCTTTCTCCCAGCCTCAGGCTTCCATTAGCGTTGAAAACGGTGTGAATGAAAACAGATTGCAAATTGCCACAGGCCTGCTCCCTGCCAGCCAGCGTTAGGCTTTAACCACAGTGAAGAGATGAAGAAAGGCAAGGCGCTGATCCTTGGCTCCTAATTGCAGTCTAACCGGGTAGGGCAAATGGCTGGCTGCCGCAGTTCTCATTACAGACCCGACGTGACAGGAGGTGGCAGATCAGGTCCACCGGGGGAGGCGCCTCCCAGGCCAGCTAACAGTGGGGACTGCGTGGTGCTCACGCCGCCCCCGAGCAGCACTGGGCCCAGCAGGGCAAGCCCTGCCGCCGAGCGCCCTGAGCCCTTCCCGGGAAGGGACGGGGAGCCGCTCCCCGAGGACAGGCCAGAGGTGGGGCCTCCTTACCGTTGCTGTAGGCGTACGGGGATTCGGCCGCGCCATCCTGCAGGCTCTCCAGGATCTCGCCCTTGCCCACATCGCTGTCGCCCACCAGCAGGAACTTGAGCAGGTAGTCGTAGCTCTTGACCGGGCTGCCCTGCGTCCCCATCCTCGCTCACGCGCGCGCAGGCCGCGCCCGCATGCCCACGGCGACAGCCGCGGGAGCACGGCGGGGAGGAGGCCTTCGACTGACCTGCGGAGACAGGGCGTGAGTTACTGGGGGCCGGCGAGGCCCAGTCCGCGAGGGCCCGACCGCCCCCGACTGCCTCACCGACCGCTCGGGACGCAGAGCCAGGGCGAGCCGGCCAGCCGCACCTGCTCCGCCGTCCACCTCACCTCAGCGATGCCGCCGCCCCGCTGCTTCCCGCACCGCACCGCGCAGCCCCGCCCCGCCCCCAGACCACGGGCCGCCACTGGCCGCCCGCCGCCTGCCCGCCTCCATCCATTGGCGCGCGCGCACGTCCTTTACGTCCACCCGCCCCCACCTTTTCCCACACAGCGCAGCAAAGCCTCCGGTCACCCCGCCCCATCACCGCCCCATTCCGCCTCCCTGAGATCGTCTTTGGTCACCCACCTCCCCTTCCCTGAAATCATTGGTCCCTGTGCACTTCCGTCATGGCTGCCCACAATTCCCCACACAGAGTTGCGGAGATTCCATCCGCCTTGCCTCCTCGCTGTCGCCATTGGTCACTTGCCTCCCGCTTTCCCAGAACCACTGGTCCGCCGACACGTCAGTCAGCACCACTACGGTCCGGAACGTCCCACAACCCCGCCCCCTGCCCCCACCATACCTCTCCTCACCCGCCCCGCCCCTCATCATCAGCGTTGGCTACCGCCGCCGATCCTGCCAGAGCCACTGGACCAACAGCATGTCGTTCCCGCCCCCCTCCCCACACACTCACCAATCAAGAGCTTGGCACTCCAGGTTGTTTGCATACGCCCCTTCCTTCCCGTGGACGGGAGCAAGTGGCGGTCCCCGGAGTGAGGTGACACGGCTAGGCCCGGGAGGACTAAACCCCCTAGTAAGCTGCAGCCAGCTGCTTCCACACAGACCCCACAGAGCGCCGGATGGCCCGCTGGAACTGCGCTCGCGAAAGTCGCCCTCCCGCGGCGGGGCCGTGACCTGGGCATGACAGGGCAAAGGCAGCCAATAAGCGCTAGGGATCCCGGAGAGGCAGCACTTCCGCTGCCAGAAGGAGGCGGAGCCGGGGGGGCTGGCTAGGCCCGGGCCGTGGGCGCGGCCGCTCGGAGAGTGTTCGGCGAGCAGCGGGAGGGTGCAGGTCCGGGCGTCTGCCCTTCGCAAGGCCGTAGGTCACAGCGCGTGGCTGTAAAGGCCTAACGTTCTAGAACCTCGGCGGCTTCTCAGGCGGGTGACTCTTCAGCTGTCAGAGATGATGGCAGCATAGGTTCCAGCGACAAAAGACAGGGCTCTGTCCCCACGTGCCCGCGACTGAGGCTAGATGCCCAGCCGAGTCCGAGTCAGGACGTGGGGCTCTGAGGCTTGACCACGGAGGCCTACAGGAGGACGTGACTTCGGGGTTGTTTACAGGATGGATGGGTTATATTTCTTAATGGGCAAAGGAGTATGAAAAGCCTGTGAACATGTGTGAAGATGTGAAGTTTCACTCTCTGAGCCACGTGGACGCTGCCTTTCCATTTTGGCGTGGTACCTGGGGAGGATTCCTAAGGAGCAGGTCCTTCGGTTGGGTAGGCAACACCTGATGAGTGCTGGGGCCTTCCTCACTGCCTTAAAGTGAAATGGAGATTAAAGTAAAACAGTACCCTTTTCACTCATCAGATTGGCAACATTGCTTGTGGGCCTGGATATGGAGAACAGCCCTCAGGGAGAGCGGTTGGACTGGTTAATAATTCCACATCTGATTTAGCATGGAGAAGTCCTCAGAAAGGAGCTCAAAGAATTTTACTGCAGCACTGTAAGTTATGGTGAAAGTCAGGAAACTGACAGGGAACTATTAAATTAACCAGGTGAGCAACATAGGGTGTGGACAAACACCTACATGAGAAGGGAAGTAAGCAAATGACATTACCGTATGTCCAGTGTAATTTCAATATTTATGCCTAATAAACCCTAACAAATTATTTCATTCTAGAGAGAGAGGAAAGGAGAGAGTGAGAAACATCAGTGTGAGAGAGAAACATCGATCGGTTTCCTCCTGTGTGTGTCCTGACTGGGAATCCAACCTACAGTCTAGGTATGTGCCCTGACCAGGAATCAAACCCACAACCTTTTGGTGGACGGAAGGACGCTCCAACCAACTGAGTCACCCAGCCAGGGCTTCATTGATGACATTTTTATTAGAACATATTCACATATGACATGTAATTTATAAGTAACTCAAAAAGTTAAGCATAGCCCTGGCCAGTTTGGCTCAGAGGTTAGAGTGTTGGCCCACAGACCAAGAGGTCTTGGGTTCGATTCTCAGTCAAGGGCACATACCTGGGTTGCAGGTTCAATCCCTGGCCCTGGTCGGGGTCATGTGGGAGGCAACCAATTGATGTGTCTCTCTCACATCAATGTTTCTCTCTCCCTCTCCCTCTTCCTCCCTTCCACTCTAAAAATGAATGGAAAAATATCCTCAGGTGAGGATTAACAACAACAACAAAAAAGTTAAGCATAAAAGTATCTTACAGCCTGGCCAGTGTGGCTCAGTGGTTGAGCTTCGACCCATGCACCAATAGGTTGCCAGTACAATTCCTGGTCAGGGCACATGCCCAGGTTGTGACCTAAATACCCTGTGGGGGCATGCAGGAAGCAGCCGATCCATGTTCTCTCTCATCGATGTTTCTATCTCTATCCCTCTCCCTTCCTCTCTCTCTAAAGATCAATAAAGGGAAAAAAATTTTAAGTATCTTACAATGCAGCAATTCCACTCCTAGAGAAATGAAAACATATGTCCATATAAAAACTTGTATTTGAATGTTCACAGCAGCATTATTTACAATCACCAAAAGGTGGAAACCCAAAACATCCATCAATAAATCAATGGATAAACAAAATGTGGCATATCCACACAATGTTTTTATTCACTTATAAAAAGGAATAAAGTACTGATAAATGCTACATTCCAAGTATATGAGACTTCCAGAATAGGCAAATCCATAGAAAGTAGACTAGTGGTTGCCAGGGCTTGGAGTAGGGGAAATGGTGAGTGAACTGCTTAAGAAGTATGGATTTCTTTCTGGGGTAATAAAAATGTTGTAAAACCGGTGATAGTTATACTACTTGGTAAAGTTACTATGAATTATTCAATTGTACACTCAAGATGGGTGAATTTTATGATATGTAAAATATGCCCTCAATACATCTGTTAAAAAAATTAATAAAAGTTGTCAAAACGGAGCCAAGTGCAGCTCTTACTAGATCAGGCAGAGTGGTGTGTGCTAGGGAGAAGCCACATAAGAGTTAGGGCTTTCCACAAAGCAGATCTGTGCAGAAGGAACAACACAGCAACCAGGCCCCAGTGTGCTGCACCAAGGGCAGCCTGTCTGGCATGTTCTTCCAGCAGGCGAGGAATGGGCAGTAAGAACATTCCTCCCAAGGGGTCACTGCATCCACACTAGGCCTTCAAAAGCAGGGTCTTCACAGAGAGCAAAGCCCTTCCTGGGCAGCACCACACCAACCCCCACCCCAAGCTGCACAGCTTTTACCAGTGAACCACGTGGATGCTTCCTAAGGACCAAGTCCTTTTGTTGGGTGAGCAGCACCTGATGAGTGCCTGGGCTTTTCTCACCTGCCTTCAGTGAGAGGCTCTCCAGGTGTCCTCCTGGCCCTCTGGGGAAGCAGAAAGCTGGGACACTTGAGGGCAGAGGCTAGCCAGGGATGGGCAGAGCCACTAGGAACCCTGATGGTCCTTTTTATGCATTTCCTCAGGCTGTTCCCCCAGGAATGGCTGTTCTCTGGGTGCTGGATTACAGTAGACATGGCCTCCCATGTTTACAAAAAGGGCACATCTACCCATAACACAATGTTTACAGAAACAGCCAGCACACAGTCTTATTGGCCCTCAGCTGGTCAGGGGTAGGAACTGAGCACTCACTGTTGCAGCACAGGGGAGGCCAGCAGCTGGTACTTGCCTACCCTTGAACCTCTACCTGGCAGGACAGGGAGAGCCCTTGGGGTCATCAGGCCAGGAGTGACTCAGCCTTGAGCCTGCCTCTGCTTTGGCCCTGCCTACTCCCTGCTCTAAAGTCACCCAGATCCCTCTCCAGGGACTGGAAGTACTAGGGGATTAACTTCTCAGATTTTGAGGTTGCCCAGAGGAATGGTTGGTGAAAAGCTATTATCACCTCCTTTCCAGAGAATTTAAATCAAAAGCCCTTCTTACAGCTCAGGACCTCCTCTGAAGGGGCTCCAGCAGCTGCAGGCCCTGCTGCCTGGTTCTCCATCACCCAGGACAAAGTGAGGAAGTGGGTAGGCTCAGCATGCACATTTTCTCACTGGGTCTTTCCCAGCATGGCCTGTGGAGCAGGTTCAACCATTCCTGCTTTGTAGGTTGGGAGCCTGTCCACGGGGTGTGATTCTGGGAGAAGGCCTGGGCGACCTCCTGTTAGGGGTTTCTGGTCTTTTGCTGAGATCCTGCACCTCAAACCCCCCAGCCTCAGAGCTAAAAGGCACCACAGAAACCCACAGGGTCTGGGGCAGCAGAGCCCAGTTGAGGAAGGGTTGCCAGAGGGGTGCCACTACCTGGTGTCCAGGAGGCCTTGTGGACAGAGTAGCTGGCTTCCCTCTCAGCAGCATACTCTTGTGCAAGGGTGTCCTGGGGCCCACTGAGTGCCAGGCCTGATCTAAGGAACTGAGGAAGGGACAGGACATAATCCCAGCCATTGAGGGACCTCAGGCCAAGGACAAAGCAGCTCACATGGCCCTCTGCTTGCAGGTCCTGCATCATCCTTGCTGAGGCACCTGCATGCTGGGTGGTTGAGGAGGCCCCAAACTAGCTTCCCTGTAGCTCCCACTCCCACTGGCTCTGGGCAGGATAGGGCCAGGCCTCCAGACCCAGCCTCTGTCCAGGTAGAGAGTGGGAGTAACAGGGGAGAGGTCTGGGCTATCTTTGCCCCTCCCCTCCAGGAGACCCACAGCCCTCTATGCTGCACTCCAAGCCCTTCCTTCTAAGAAATATCTGGTTTAACCAATGGGGCAATAGACCTTAGCCTCGAAGCTCTGTACAGAGGCTCTCTAAGAGCACCCACAAAGGTTTCAGTTGCTCTGGACACCCTGGCTCAGGTTTGGTGGCAAGGAGAGGCCCCACTGAAGTCCCACAGGCGGACAGAGCCAGTAACCTCTCTATACATCTGGCAAGAACCAGGCCTGGCACCAGAGCTGTCATTCAGGAATTGGGCAGGCACCGAGGGTGACAGCTGCCAGGCTGGCCTGTGACATGGCCACCATCTCATAGTGGTGTGGTCCAAGCAGCAGGACCCTCACCTGACTGGAACCCTGACAGAAGAGGTAAAGGGCAAAAGTGGGCAAAGGGTGAGCAGGTTGGCCAGGGAGAGTGGGGAGACAACTGAGGAACTTCCAGAAATGCAGGTGTGGAGGCTGTTCTCAGCAGGCGTTGGGGTCCTGCCCACCAGGACCTATGTGGGGGCCCTCTGGGGGTGGAGGTACAGGACTGTGAGTTGCTGAGTGACTTCTCTGGGTCAGCCTCTCCCATACACAGACAGGACAACAGATGCAGAGGAGGCCACCTGAGGATCCCTGGAGGCTATAGGACAGTCAGGGAGTGCCTGTGTAGAGTCAAGTTTCAGGTGATGACATATTCATCAGAGCCAGGAGTGGCTCACCCCTCCACAGCAGGCAGGCCTGCACCCCTGCCCTGGGAGACCCCCCTGCAAGGGCAAGGCTAAAACCGGAAAGCAAGGGGCCCTGGGTCCACCCAACCACTGGGACATCTTCAAGGGGCCAGAGCCTACACACCCACCCACCAGACGTGCAGAGAGGCTTGCTCCAGGAGACAGGGTGCCCAGTGTCCCCCATCTTGGCATCACTAGAAAAGGTGTGGTAGTCATCTCAAAACAAACAGTGGGGACCAGCAGTCCTACCACCCCAGGAGAAGGGGGCTCCTCAGACCCACTGCACATGGGGCGACGAGAAGGTAGAACATCACACTCAAACATGGGAGGCTTTAATGTCACAACAGAGAAAACCAGAGCCAGGACCTATCCCATCAGATGCTGGGCTGATAAGGATGCTCCCAGGGGCCCCACTGTGGTCTGCAGCCAAGGAGTGTGGGTGGCAGAATTGGACAGTCCCAAGTGCCCATGATGGATAGGAAGCACCACCCCCACCCCTTCTCTCCGACTATGGCATACATGTGATGCCATCATACCTTCAGGCTTCCTCACCCCAGGGATTCTGTGGCTCACGTCCACACAGATTCTGCAGCCAGCCAGCAGGCAGATGCAGCCTGAGTGCCAGAACCCCTCCCCAGGGGCTATAGAAGCATCTGCCCAGGAGCTGCCTGCTTCTGCAAGAAACTAGTGAGGAGAGATGGGAGATTTGGCCAAGGGGGCTGCTCTTGCAGGGCCATGGGGCAGGTGTGGGGCAGGAACTAGACAGCCAGGTAGGTGGGCAATCAGCTTCTAGCAAGGCAGCTTTGAGCACCCCACATGACCTGGCTTCACACAGGGATTCCCAAAGGCCTGTGGCTGGCTCCTCCTGCAAAGCAATCTCCCCAGGGAGCATCACAAGTAACCTTGTGCAATTCAGGAAATGAGAGGCACTGCCATCCAGCTTCCTGGAGGGCCCTGCCTCACTGGGGCTAGTGGTTTGGGCCAATGGTCAGCAGTTGCTTAAATCCCCCATATTGGCTGGCCACTGCTCCTTTGAGGCAACTGGGAGGTGTCAGGGACCCAGGAGTGTGTCTGCAGAAAAACCCCCAAGGAAGGAGTCCTCTACCCCATGACAGACTTGGACCACAATGGAACAGCCAGTTCACCCCACTGAGAAAGAATATGGCAGGCAGAAGCCAGGCTCTGCAAACCCTTCCTGGGCAGGGTCTGTGTCTGAGGGTCGGTCGGGGTTGGGGGGTTCCTGGGCAGGCCTGAGGGTTGGTGGGCACTGAGCTAACAGTGCCATCACAACAGATTGGAGGTGGGTCCTGAGGTAAACTGTGCTTATTATGCAGCACAGGTCACCCCTGCATCCTCCTGCTCACCACCCCTATGACCTCAAATTCAACCTCATAGTTGGGAGGCTATTTGCCAGTATGGCCTGAAGAAGTCCCAGATGAACAGGGGGCAGGGAAGGTAGAGTGCAGGGTCATGTGCTGCCTGACAGTCAACGACACCCCAGCAGGGTAGAGGACTGACCGTGGCTGTGCAGTGGTGCTGGGTGGACTGGTAGTCGGGCGGCATCAGTCCTGCTTGTCCCCTCTCTGCCTCCAGGGGTAAATGAGTTCCCCGAAGAACAGCTTGCGGCACAAGGAACTCCAGGAGTGCTTGGGGTGGCAGCCACAGCTGGGGAGGCGGTAGGTGTGTACCACACGATTGTAGGGCAGGGGGTTTATCTGGAAGCATAAGGGCAGTAGTCAGCTTGGGCACAGCCCCCAACTCCCTGAGGCTAGAGCTCTCCGGGCCTCAAAAGTCTCCAGGCTGGGGGTAGGGGTGGGGGCAGTGTCCCTGAGCTAAACAATTGTGGGGCAGGGCCAGCTCTGTTGCAGGTGTGTTCTGGCCTGTGGTCCACAGGACAGGATAAGCAGTCCAGGAGGGTCATCTGTTCTGAGCTGACAGCAGGGAAGAGAGGTGGGCTGGGGTGGGCTGGGCTGGCAGATCCTTCCACTCTAGGTCCCAAGGAACTCTCAGAAACCTCTTCATGTGGGACTCAGAACACACTGCACACTAGAAAACCACACAGGGCTCTAGCTGCCTCAGCATCTGACCTCTCCCAGTGACCCTCAGGCCAGCCCCGCCTGCTTGAACCCAACACTGGCAACCAGTGAGTCACCCAGTGGGGGTCACTCGGCAAGTAGCCTGCTCCCTCCTGAAGGCCAGGACCCCAAGATTGTTTCAGATAAAGGAGTCCAACAGAGAACATGTGTGTCCCGAGGCCTTCACCAAATCTGTGCTGCTCTGCCTAGAACAAAAGCTCTTAGGGCCCAGGGCAGGATTCAAGGACCCATGGTCAAGCAGGCAGGAACCCTAGGCGGCCAAAGGCATCTGACAGTGCAGGGGATCTGTCCATGGGCCCTAATGGGGAAGGTTCCAGGCAGATAGTCACAGTGCCCAGAGGCCGGGTGGAAGAGTCTCCCCTTGGGCTCAACCCTTCAGCTCCGCTGGCCCTTCCTGCCTGTACCTTACCCTAGGCCTGTGATGCTGTAAACCAAGGGTGGCACAGAGGGGCCTGATCCCAGCTGCCCAGGAACATGGGCAGCATCATGGGTGTGTGTGTGTGTATGGGGGGGGATCTGTCCACAGGCAGCAGTGTTAGGAGTGCACAGAGGCCTTACCTGCATCAGGAGGCGGAGGGGCCTGCCAGCCTCGTGCTCCAGGACTTGAAACTTCACACCAGCTGGAAGGAGCAAGGTGTTCATCAGAGAGGGGAGTAGCTTTCCAGGGCTCCCAAGGCCCAGCAGACAGCCCCCATCAGTCCTCCTGCTCTGTGTCAGCAGAGGACAGCATGGGCAGAGGGCTCTGGCAATGAAAGCCCCTTCATCTCTGGGCAGCACTCGAGAGCTGCCTGAGCTCTTCCACCCTCCTGTCCTTCCCATCTGCATCTTTGAATGGGCTGCTGGGCCAATATCAAAGCCTCCTGCACAACTCCACTGAAAGGAAACGCTGAGTGTCTGGCTAGCAGGGCAGAGCAGCTGGGCAGTGGAGCACGGCCTGTGCTGTTTTCCGAATGAGCTGTGGGTTTTCCCACAGAGCCAACGGGCACTTGCTGGGTAGTGGCTGTCCTATTGGCATCTAAATGTCTTCCAACTTCTGTGTGTGTGGCTCACTGGGACCTACCACGCCCCTCGCCTGCAGTTTGGACCCCCAAGCCTAGGGATTCTCAGGCCGAAGGTTTTTTGAAAGGAGAAATAGGAGCTAATTATCATTTGATGAAGAGGCCCAAGGCAAACTCAGGAAAGAGAGGAGGCAGCAGCATCTGTGGTCTTTCATGTGAAGTTAAAACGACCCTGCTCTGGCAGTGAGCCAGGATATGGGGGAGGAGGGTGCTGAGTCTCAGGCTCTCCACTTGTGTTGTCCTGGCATTCTGAGGTGTGGTGGAGGCTGGGGGCTGAGTGAACATGGGCATTGCAGTAGATGGGTCCCTGGCCTGGCCATCTGTGGGGTAAGTGCCTTGCATAGAGCGTTGAGGGCATCCAGCAGACAGACTTTAGGTCCAAAACACATAAAACACCCATATTCACATCCTCTGGCTCCACGCTGGCCAGAACCATACACTATGAGCTCTAGGGTGTGCCCCAAGCTGTCCAGCTGCAAACTGGGTACAGGGCCTCCTGGGCATTGTGGTCACCTTGGGGGCCATCTGAACAGCTGCTGGATAGGGGCTATGCTGGAACTCTCCAAGTTCCCTGATATATTCAAAGCCCTGCACCAACCCACAACTCTGTGACCAGTTAGGTGGGCTTCCCAAGGTCTGAAATGGGGACGGCCTCCCTTTAAGTGCATGTGGCCAACCCAGTGGGTAGTGTCAGCATGAAAACAGGCAGCCACCTGCACAGGGCACAGCCCAGGGCAGCTGGGATGGGGGTGTTGTCCCCGCAGATGATGGTCTTGCCAGGTGCAGGGTGGGAGTGCATTCTTCTCACACAGATCTGGCCAGCCCAGCATCCTCCATTGTGGCTTGCTGCCTCCAAAATTGAGGGGTACCAGCAGGCACATACAGCCCCATACAACGAGTACACATCTTCTCTGAGCCACATGCAGGTACCACCGACACCACTGTGGACAGACCTCAGGGCAGATTTTCACAGTTGCCACAGAAAATGGAAAAAAGGAACGGCTACCCCTGTGGCCTCTGAACCCAAGCACCAGTTGGGCCTTCTAGCTCCAGCTCGATGCAGGCAACTGGTCCAGCAGACACCCTGGAACCAGGGGTCTCTGTCCTCCCCATGCACACCACCACTTCCAGATAGGAGGCACATGTAGTGTAGTTGGTGTTTCTGCAGGGCCCACAGACATACGCCTTCCCACCCAGCACACAAACCTACCTGAGAGCCTGTAGGGCCGGCAGAGCCGGAGGCCGAGTGCATACAGCGGCAGAGAGTTGATAAGGTCCACGAGCAGATGAATCAGACCCTGCACAGTGACCACCAGGAGCCGGAGCTGCAGCACAGACAGTGCTCAGGACCTCTGAGCGGGGATCATGGCCAGAGCCACTCTGGCATGCCCATGAGCAGAGCAGCCTGTCAGGTTCTGGGCCGCAATAAATGGTGAGCAGGGACTCAAGAGCCTTAGGAGAGCACGGACCCCACCCTGGGGAGGGCACAGACCCTGTCTTAAACCTGAGGCCCAAGCACAAGAAGGCAGGGAAGCGGCAGGCAGGAGTGGTTGGCCCTCCCACAAGGTCAGAGGAGACAGTGCTCTGATCCAGGGAAATGAGTTACTGGCCCCTCAGCCCAGGTCACCTAGGTGCTGCTTCCCTCCTTCTAAGTCCCCACCCTCATGCCAGGTACTAAGGGGAGACCACCACCATGACCCGCTCACCATGGATCCTGCCCTCCCAGATGAGTGTCCCAGAGTAGTGGGTGGTTTCCCCCCAGGGGAGAACCCCTACCCACTCCAGGGCCCAGCACACACTGCCCAGAGAGTCTAGAACAGCCACATGGCCTACAGCAGTGGATGGCCTGCCCACAACTGCCAGGCTGGTAGGCACATCTGGCAGTGACCACTCTAAGCACTGTTGGCAGGGCCCCTCAGCCACGCGTCATGCCCAGAGCCCCCCATGGCTCACCAAGGTGAATACCAGGTAGTACAGGGCCGTGGTGGGCAGCAGGAAGACCAGAACGGTGAAGAGCAAAGTCCCAATGAACAGCTGCCAGGAGAAGGGACACCCTTAATATCAGCTGGAGCTCATGCTGGGGACAGTCCCACCAGCACTGGCCATACCCCTGGCTTCCCTCCCCACCAAGCCTATCCTGTAACTAAGCAGAAAGATGCCTGCTGGTAGGACACTGGCTTCCTGAAACAACTCAGTGACAGGTCTCTCCAGTACTGGGAGGGGAATGACTGTGTGCCCTCCAGACTCAGTGACACATGGGAGATAGGGGTGGAGGAGAGAGAACCAACTAGTAGAGTGTACAGCCACGTACACCAAAGACAAAAGTGTTGAGAAAATCAGGCACAAAAAAACATGCCCATGCCCAGCCAGTGTGGCTCAGTGAATTGAGCGTGATCCCATGGACTGAGGGGTCCCGGTTCAATTCCCGCTCAGGGCACATGCCCAGGTTGTGGGCTCAATCCCCAGTAGGGAGCGTGCAGGAGGCAGCCAATCGATGTATCTCACATGGATGTTTCTATCTCTCCCTAAAAAAAAAAAATCAATAAACAGATATTAAAAACAAAACAAAACATAGCATGCCCTGGAGGGCAGCACTCAGGGTCCATGTGTTAGGTCTGAGCAAGCTAATGGGACAAGCCAGAGCCAGGTCCACTGCCTGGGTCACCTCTAGGCTCCCTTTCCAGATCACCTCCAGGGCCTACTACCAAAGTCACCTCCAGGGTCCTGTGCCTCGGGTCATCTCCAGAGCCCACTACCAAAGTCACTTCTAGTGTCTGCTGATCAGTATGGTTCCCTAGGGCCCAACAACCTCTTGTGTGCAGGGTCCACCTCCCACATGGGTAAATCTCTGCACTGTCTGAGAGCCCCACATGACCCTGCACCTTGCAGACTCCCCAGGTCTTCCAGGGTCAATGCAGGACAGGAACGAGGCTACCTCCTCGTGGTACTCAAACAGCTGCACTGGCCAAGCCCATTCAGAGGGGTCAGTTGGACTGGAGCTGGGAGGTCATACTAGCCAGTTAAGGCCAGGGTGCACCCTCCCCTGCAGTCCTGCCCAATACCTGATCTAGGTCATAGGAGCAGGAATCCACCCGCTGGCGCAGAACATTCCACTTCTTCCCCCGGAAGAGGCGCCAGAGTGAGGACAAGCCGCAGATCTTCAGGCAGTACAGCCTGCAGGACATGAACTCCCATCAGGGCCGGGCCTGGCTGCTGTACCAGCCCCCTAGCCACCCAGCCCCAGGAGCCTGTCTGTGGTACCCAGGGCACGGAGAGCTGCACTGGGCCAGACTGCAGGGGTGGGGAGCACATACCCACCTGGCACCATAGACATAGAAGCAGTAGATGTGAAAGGTGAGGAGGGCGATGATGTCCGACAGGATGGATAGGGCAACTGTCAGGCCCAGGCAGGCTGAGAGGCCCATGTGCCACAGGATTCGCTCGATGAAGGGGGACATGAGGTGGATGTAGCCTGGCAGGAGGGGAGGTCAGCCCTGAAGCGGTGCTCAGGGAGGTCCTGGTCCCCCCAAGTTCTCACTGAGGATGGTGCCTGAGGCTTCTGGAAACTGTCATTGGCCATCCCTCAGTAGAGCAGCCAGCCTAGCACAGCAGGGCTCTACACACTCTGGACACCAGGAGGCAGGAAGCAGGGACCAGGGGATGGTGCCAGGCCTGGGCCCCACTTTGCTGCTCAACAAGGGATGGTGTCCCTAGCGGCACAGCCTTTAGGAGCAAAGTCAGGGTCTCTGGGAATTCCCATGGCCTACCCACCCACAGCACTCACTGATCCACAAGTGGATGTGATACAGGAAGAAGCGGCCCAGCACCTGGTCCAGTGCCCGGTTCATCTTGAGCCCAGCGGGTGCGCCCATCAGCCACTGCAGCAGATGCTGGAGCTCCTCAGCCACTCGCTGGGAGGACACAGAGAGGCATGTTGTCCATAAACTGGGCCAGCCCATCTGTGCAGGGCAAAGATAGACTGGGCTCCCTTCTCCAGGTGTCTGGACTGCCATCTCCTATCATGCCCGGTACACGGAATTTCCCATCCTTGCCTGCCATGGAATCCCTCTTCACAGATGTTTTGGGACACAGGGCTGAGATGTACAACCTCCGATGCCAACAGTCGGGCCCTCTAGACAGGTTCCCCCTGATGGGAGTCAACCATCCAATAAAGCATCCTTTCCCCATCTAACCACTTTGGCCACTGTACCCACAACAGCCCTTAGCCCCAGGCTCCAGGATATGGGACAGACCCAGGCTCACCGTGAACCTTGCAGGGGGAGCCCATGGGCCCACCCAGTCTTCCTCCACCAAGGACCCACCCCACCCCTGGCCACAGCAGAGGCCTGGGCCTGCCCTTGGTGGGTGACCTTAGGTGAGGATAAGGGTGTCCAGCCCGTCAGGGGCCCAGGTAGCAGGGCAGGAAGGTCCTCTAAAGGGAAGGACACACGGGGACTCAGAGTCAAGATTAATGTCGAGTGAGGACCAGACACAGCACAGGAACCCTTGCAAGCAAGGAAGCTGCCCTACAGTGTCCTGGCTGCCTCAGAAGGAAAGCCAATGTCCACTATGCCAGCCCCAGTGGGCAGGCCCTGAGGACTCAGCCTCGTCACCAATGCTGAGGCCACAGGAGTAAAATTCCTGCTTCACTCTTACCCCTACCCCCAACTCCACCCACCTTGCAGGCCTCTTCCAACCCTGTGTGAAGGCCTCAGCTATGTCAAGAGCAGTAAGAGGAACAGAACATTCTTTATAAATAGAGCTTATTTAATATTTAAAGGATAAGAGCTTGGCGGCAGGAAGAGGCTTTCATTTTTAAATTAAATATTTATATTTCTGAGCAGTCTTGCAAAAGGGAGGTCTAGGGTGAAGTTGGCCACAGGCAGAGCATACAGGAGCAGGCAAAGCAGCCAAGCCCCTTTCCCAGCCCCCAGACTCTCCTTTCTCCTTCCTCTCAGCTAGGCCGCCCTGAGAAGCTATGGATACTCTCAGCCTGTGAGGGCTCCTGCCCACATAGAACAGTCCAGCCACAAGTAGACCCCATAAGCAACCACGGCTGGACGCTGATGATGGCCAGTAGAGGCTGAGCCCACATGGACCACCCAGTCAGGCCTCAGCCACTTGACCACAGGGGGCCCCTGAAGAGGCCTGTGGGTAGCCCAAGAGGCCTGAGGGACTGCCCTAAGCAGGAAGACAAGTTCCCAATAGAAGTGACAGGGCCTTTGGCTTTGAGGAAGAGAGGCCCAGAAGCTGAATGCAGCAGGTGGACCCTAGAAGGATGATGTGGCAGGGAGGACGGGGGTGGCACCCAGGCCCTGGAAACACTGCCCAGACATGCAGGGCAAGTCCACGAGCACAGCAGATAAGCTGGTACCTCTGGCTCTCAGCACAGGAACTACAGAACCAATGTTGGGAGCAAAGTGGGAGGCCAGAGCTCAACCGCACACCGGCAGCCCTGGACACAGGTTTCCATGATGCTGACTGTGTAGAGGTCCCAAGCCAAAAGCCAGACAGGAGAGCAGAAACAGTCACTCACTGGGGGAGGCAACAGGAACACTGTGACATTGGACCAGGTCAGGGGAGATGGGCTCCCCCTAAAAGCCTTGACCACAAGATAACCCCCAAACACAGCCACCTTCAAGAAGAGAAGGTAGAAGCCAGGAGCTGAAATGTGACCCAGTGTGGGAAAGTGGGCACCCAGCAGACCCTAGTCTCCACAGCTCCCAGGGAACTGGTCTGGGGTCAGTGATGAGGGTTGCTCTCATGACCACAAAAAGTGGAGAAGAGCTGCTCTGGCCGGCTGTGGGGCCTCTGCTGCCCCCAGGAAGGGCCCCACTCCCACCCAGGAAATAGGTGCTGGAGTCCAGACTTGGCTCCACCCTATCCAACTCACATCAGCCACAGGAACAAGGGCATCAGCCAGCTGCCCAATGCGGTCTTTTCCGTGGAGCCAGGACAACAGCGCGAAGCCTAGAGCCACGTCAAGGAGCACGGAGACAAGCATATTGGCCTTCCTGAAAGGAGGGGTCCAACAGGAGTGGTGGTGAGGGTGGCCCAGCCAGAAAGGATGAGCGAGGATGGGTCTGGTACAGAGGGAGGGGAGGACTTGGCCTGTGGTGCGTTTGGCCACTGCAGAGTAGACCCAAGGCAGGCCCGAACCTCATCAGCTGGGAGGTATTCTCAGCCTTCTGGGTGCTGAAGATGAATGTGAGCTGTTCCAGCCGATGCCTGAGCTGCTCGCATGTGGAGAGCTTGCTCCAGATGAAGGACAGTGGCCACAGCTTGAATACCCTAAGAAGGAGCAGAGATGGATGGGCCTTCAGCAGAGATGGATGGGGCTCTCCTGCCTGCCAGGGAGCATGGGCTGCCTCAGTGTTGCCAACACCCCTCACTGTGCAGACAGGAAGCATCAGGCCAGGCTCAGCCAGAGTCCCTGGGGCCCCAAACACCAATGGCCATATTCTTGAACTCAGCAGGGCAGGGACACAGGTGGGAGAGCCCAGACAAGCAGCCCAGCGTGGCTCATGGTACAATCATGACCATTAAATGGGAGCCCGACCACATCGCAAAGAGCTGGTCCCAGGCCAAATGCACCCTGGCAGTGGAGAGAACACGCTGTCTGGTCACTCACTACTGCTGGATGGGTGACCCTCATTAAGGGTCTCTAAGCTGACTGGGCTGCACAACGAGACTGATTTCTCTCCAGGCAAAGTAAGCACTGAGACGCTTCCACAGACATGCAAACATTGCGGGGACACACTTGCAAGCAAAGATGACAAAAGTGCTGGATTGCAACTTAGCCATGCCCAGGGCCCCTCTCCACTCACGACCTTACTGCCAGCAGGGGACAGAAAGGGCTTGTGCCAAGTGCAGAGCCACCAACAAGCACGCACTTGGACTCTTGAGAAGGAAGAGGTCTAGACCTTGAAAAGTTTAAAGACTTCGTTTCCAACAGAGCAGCTTTAAACTAATTCCAAGAAATAAAAAAAAATTTTAAATGAAGAAATAAAATGCATTCAGCATACCGCCCCCTCACCCTACCAACTCCAATCAAGTGGAAGGTGGCCTCTCACTGGCTGCACAGAGACCTATGCCTGCACAGCAGTTTCCCCAAGGTTCAGACCAGTCCAGGGCTGCCTAGGCGCCACAGCACCCCTGGGCCTGCCCTGGGAGAAATAAGGGGCTTCACTACTGCACGGTGATAGCCAGGACTCATGTGAATATCCCTGTGCTCACCACCACCACCAGTCATTTACCAACCTAACTGATGGGCGAATTCATATGTGGGGCACATGAACAGTTCTTAACCTTTCTTGGTCCTTTGAAAGCTGATTAACAGCTAAAAACCTTCTCTCCCCAAAATTGTAGCTAAGCCGACACACTCTCACATACTTCATTCCAAGGGAATCGTGAAGCTCTAAAACCCACCCATTCCCTGCAGCCCACACAATCAGGCGTGTCCACACACAGCTGCCAACAGCTCTCTGCCAGAACAGGCCCTTGCCCTGGTGAGAAGCCCAGGCTAGTTCCCAAACCAGACAACTTGAACCCCTGGACCTAACGAGAGGGGGTGCCTGAAGGAGATGGCTTATCACAGAGAGAAGGGCCCCTGTAGCCAGCCAGAACACCCTGGTGCTACCCCAGCATTCCCCAAGGCCCTCAGGGGCTTTTACAAATGCCCTGGCCTGGCTGCAGCCAGGAGTGCTCCAGGTGATTCTGGAGTGGCCAAGGCTGGGGACCACCACCACACCCACACCCATGGCTGAGAGTGAGTGGATGCACCCCTACAGCCTCCAGGGCTGCCTCTGCTGTGGCTGTGGGGGCCAGGGAAGTGGGCGGGCCTATGTGTGTTCAGGAGGATGAACATCTCCCAAGCAGGGCAAACATCAGCCCTCGGCCAGCAACAACTCAGTCTGTCCATCATCTCATCTCCCTCTCACGGGCTGGAACTGTCTGAGGTTCACCCAATACCCCTACCCAGTGGGTCCTATGCAACTGCTGAGGTTGCTAGGGAGCCTGGCTCTTCCTCAGGAGTGAGGGGCACCAGAACGCAGCTACCACCAGGACGTTCTCTGAGATACCAGGAGAGGGGGTATGGGAGAGCTGAAGTGTGGGGGACAGGTGAGTCTTAGAAGGGCCCATCTGGGCCTCCACACTGAGGGGGTGGGCTTAGGACTCAAGAGTCCAACTCCTTCCCACCCCAGCCCCAGGGACACCTACCAGCAGGTGCTGGCAGCTGAGATGAGTGACAGCAGGTAGGCCAGCAGTAGGCAGACAGGCCCCGAAGCTCGCTTGGCCAGCTCCACGAGGATGCTGGCCTCCACACCCTCTGACTGCCAGTGGCTCAGCCGCACCAGGCCCTCATCAAACCGGTCACTTCGGAAGAGTGCCTCACTTCGTGCCACCGTGTCGAAGACAGCAGCCAGGCCCCCAGCGCTGGCTGTGGCATCCCCAGCCTGGTGGTCAGGCAGGGCTGCAGGTGGGTGCAGCTGGGACAGCAGCACCTTGCGCTGGTCGTAGAAGATAAGCATGACCTGGTCCTCGCCAGGGGCACCAGGGGAGATAGGCACCTGCCAATGGGTGGCCTTGCAGCTCCAGAACTTGCTGCCCCTCTCCCGGCACAACTGGAGCCAGGGCTCGTGGGAAAAGATGGTACCCAGGCCCTCCAGGAAATGGCCCAGGCTCTCCTCAGGTTCCTGTCGATGGTGGCACCAGGTGCCCAGCACAGCCAAGCCTATTCGGCTGGCCTGCTGCACCTGGGCCAAGAGCTCCTTGACCTGGATGGGGATGAAGGGAAAGTGCACCACAGCCAGGACCACAGCGCTGCTCTGCTCTGGGACCCACCGTCCAACCAGAAGGCCGCTGTCTGCCGAGGCACAACACGTGGGGAAGAAAGCCTTAAGCACCATGCTGGGGACACTGGAAGAGAGGGGAGAGGCTCAGCTCAGAGCTGCTGTTGCTGCCACCGCATCTGCCACTGCCACTACCCTTCCATGGTCCCAGGGTGGCTGACAGTGCTGTGGCTGCAGGCAATGGCCAACATGTGGCACACACACCCCTGGTGGACACATCCCACATGGTCACAGAGGCCACTGGCTGGGGTAATCCAGTTTTGGGTTTGGTCAGGGTCTGGTGGGGGAGGGGCCCTGGCTGTCCATCTCCCATAGGCACTGCCCTCAGTTCGCCCTGGGCTGTTGTGAGCACAGGCCCTAAATCACCCCTCATCCCCACACCAAGGCAGTTCAGTGCTTTCCCCCATTTCAGAGACAAGGAGGCAAGGTTACATGACCTGCTCAGTACCACTCACAAGGGTTGCAGAGATGAACAAGAGGTTTTAACTTTTGTTTTTAAAGAAACATTAGTGCCCAGCCAGTGTGGCTCAGTGGATTAAGCATCGACCCATGGACTGAGGGATCCTGGTTCAATTCCCACTCAGGGCACCTGCCCAGGTTGTGGGCTCGATCCCCAGTAGGGGGCGTGCAGGAGGCAGCCAAATGATGTATCTCACATCAATGTTTCCCCCCCCCCCTCTCTCCCTTCCTCTCTCTCTAAAACAATCAATAAAACATATTTAAAAAAGAAAATTATTAGCCCTGGCCAGTTTGGCTCAGCATTTAGAGTTGGCCTGCAGACTGAATGGTCACGGGTTCGATTCCCAGTCAAGAGCACATATCAGGGTTGCAGGTTCTATCCCCAGCCCTGATCCAGGACATGCAGGAGGCAACCAATCAATGAGTCTCTCTCACATCATTGTTTTTCTCTTTCTCCCCCTCCCTCCCTCCCTTCTTCCCTTCCACTCTCTCTAAAACACAATGGGGAGCCCTGGCCGGTTTGCTCAGTGGTTAGAGTGTTGGCCTGCGGTCCAGAGAGACCCGGGTTCGGTTCCTGCTAAGGGCACGTGCCTCGGTTGCAGTTGTCCCCAGCCCAGAGTCGTGCGGGAGGCAGCCACTCGATGTGTCCCTTTCACGTTGATGTTTCTCTCTCTCTCTCTTTCTCTCTCTCTCTTCCTCTCTATCTGAACAAAAAATGGAAAAAAAAAAAAGTCCTCAGGTGAGGATAAAAAATAAATAAATAAATAAAACGCAATGGGAAAAAGAAATCCTCAGGTGAGGATTTAAATAAGTAAATATGAAAATTAAAACAAATTGCTGTCCGGCCAGTGTGGCTTAGTGGTTGAGCATAAACCATGTACCAAGAGGTTGCTGGTTCAATTCCTGGTCAGGGCACATGCCCAGGTTGTGGCCCAATCCCCAGTGGGGGACATGCAGGAGGCAGCCAATCGATGCTTTCTCGTTGATGTTTCTATCTCTCTCTCCCTCCCCCTTCCTCTCTCTCTGAAATCAATTAAAAAAAAATTTTTTTTAGCCCTGGCCGGTTTGGCTCAGCGGTTAGAGCATCGGCCTGCGGTCCCGAGAGACCCAGGTTCGGTTCCCGCTAAGGGCATGTGCCTCGGTTGCAGTTTGTCCCCGGCCCTGGTTGGTCATGCGGGTGGCAGCCACTCGATGTGTCCCTTTCACGTCGATGTTTCTCTCTCTCTCTCTCCCTTTCTCTCCCTCCCATTCTATCTGAACAAAAAATGACCTCGGGTGAGGATAAAAAAAAAAAAAAAAAATTTTTTTTAAACAAAAAAAAAAAAATTGCTGCTGGGCTGAGGAAAACCAGACATGTGCACACTGCTGGTGGCTGTGGGCATTGGTGCAGACACCCCAAAAGATGCCTAGGGATGTGCTTGGTAACCTGAGCCCAAACCCCTGCCCAGTGAGCCTCCTGGAAGAGCCTCAGTGCTCAGATAACAGGCTCAGCTCTCACAGGGCTTCTGCCTGTACTCTGACCCTCCAGCCTATAGCTGTGCAGATCCTGCCCTGGGAGCCCCATCCATCGGCCACTTCAGGACAGGACTCCCAACAAGGGAGTGTTTCCTCTTGTCATAGCTGAGTACCTCCTTTGGGAAGTATTCTTCCAAACAGGTAGCTATCTACAAGTGGGGGTGGGAGTTCACTAGCCCTGGGAAATGGAGAGATACCATCATCTTCTCTCAGGATGAGGGACACCAGCCTTCCTAGCCTCTCACTATCCTCACATGGCCTGTGAGCAAAAAGAACAGCCCCAAGCAGCCATAATTCCTGAATTTTGTGGGACCCTAAGTCTTTTTTTTTCATTTATCTTCAGATAGAACGGGAGGGAGAAAGGAGGGAAGAGAGAGAAACATCCTCGTGAGAGAGACACATCTAGTGGCTGCCACCTACATGACCCCAACTGGGGCCGGGGACAAACTGCAACCAAGGTACGTGCCCTTAGCGGGAACTCTCTGGTTCGCGGGCCGACACTCTAACCACTGAGCCAAACCAGCCAGGGCAGGATCCTAAGTCTTAACATGCCCAGAAGTAAGCTCACAGGGGATGAGGGTTTCTCAGCAAGCCTTTCATTCTTCCACTTGAGCCCCTTCCAGACGAAGCTTGACAGGAACAGGACCTCACCCTCCATGGACTGAGGGTATTCATGTTGAGGCATGCCCTTTCTCAGACACTGACTGGCCCCACCTCATTGGCATAAAGGGCAGAGCAGCCACCCTGAGCTAAGACCCCCAAGTTGGAGCTCACACTGAAGGGAGAAACACAGGCCTCTGACTGAGCCTGGGCTTCCAGCCCTCAATGCTCACTAGGCCCTTGATGATAAGGGGACAGAGAAAGACACATATGTGGGGCAGTGTAACATTGTGGGAGACACAGGGAGCCTTTGCCTGAGGATCAGGGGGCACTCGGAGGCCTCACACAGACACAAACGCCCAGGGCTTAAGAGCACACAGATACAGCTGCTTTTCTCCCCTGCAGGTAGCCCAACCTGGGGCTGAAGGATCAAGACCTCCCTCAGCCCTGGTCGGTTTGGCTCAGCGGTTGGAGCGTTGGCCTGTGGACCAGAGAGTCCCGGGTTCGGTTCCCGCTAGGGGCACATACCAAAAAAAAAAAAAAGATCTTGTGAAAAGGGCCTCAGACAGCTATGGGTTCCAGCTGAAAAGGGCTCCTTTGAGTCCAGCAGCAGCAGAACTCCTAAATGCCCCTCCCCTAGTGACCAGGGAGGGCAGGCAAAAGTGGGAGCTAGCATGGGAAAGCCTGGACCCTAATAGCAGCGCAGAGCCAAATCCCTGTGGCCATCATCAATGGCATCCAGGGCCAGTTTGTCTTCCTGACCCTTCTGTAGGCACTGCCCTACTGGTGGCATCATGAGAGGGACAGAGCAATTCTGCCTGTGAGGGACCCAGTATGTCTGGCTTGGCAACCACCATGGGAGACCAGCAAGCACAATCCAAACCTCTCAGTGCCATCCTGTTAGGACATACCTGCTTAGCCAAATGACACCATCACACCCTGCTTGGAGACGACTTTAACAGGAGCTAAGGAAAACTGCTCGTGGCTATTGTCAAAAAAGAAGCACAGCTGGCCTAATGGCAAACAGATGCTCTGAGTGAAGCTGACTACACGGTGTGTTCACTTTGGGAAAATTCGTCGCGTTGTACATTTTCTTTGTATGTATTATGCTTCATCTACAAAGTTTACCGAAAAGAATTAAAAAAGAAGTAGCTCCTCATGTCTAAGGAAGAGCAGAGGGCAGAAGTTGATGTTCTTATCCGTGGGGTAGTGAGAAAGAACTCTTATCAGATTATGGAGCAAATTCCCATCCCCGCTCCCACCTCAGCCTCTGGGAGTGATGAACACAAAGAAGCCTGCTCAGATCAGACAGCCAGAAAGAGATGAAAGAGAAGGCAATCGATAGCAGAGGTGCAGATGGGAGAAAGTAGGGCAGTTACTTGGGCAACATGCACACCTTTGAAGGCTGATTAAAATAAACAAAAACAAACAAATAAAAAACACCAACGGCATATACCTGGAAAAGCCTCCCCTGGTAAAAATGACACCAAGTTCCCTTATAAAGCAGCCTATTCTCAGCTCAGTAAGGATTCCTGGGATGCTCCTCACAAAACCAGAGGCCAACAGTCTGCCTCATTAGGTAGAAGCTGTACTTCCCTCTCACCCTCTGCATAAACTGATTGCAGGGAAAAGCCCAGGTATGACTGGCCAGGGACACCTCACTGGCTGAAACCCTCCTCTGTGTAGCCTTTCAGTCACTGCGCCTCATTAACTCACAAGAATTAGTCTTTACTCCACGTTGTTTGTGTTTTAAAAAATATTTTTTCTCGTGTTTTGTTTCCCCTTCTCATTTCAGAAGAACGGAGATGAATCTAGGATTCTATTTTTTTGCCCTTTGCTGAAGTCAGGACAACTATAAAGTGCCGACGGCCAGTTCCTCTGGCCCTAAATACCCTTCCGGAAGAGTCCTCGGGAAGGTCCAAGATGGGTGGGTCCAAGGGCGCCTTTCATCCTGCAGGGTGTTGGGGCCAGACTCCCCGCCAAGAGCACCCACGAGGCCGGGCCACAAATCCTTCGGGTCTGGGGAAACGGCCTCAGGGGTGGGGGTGGGGGGTAAGGGGAGCTGGCGGGAGCGCTCACTGCCCTCCTAAGTCGTAGGCCGGCCCTGGGCCGCGGCCAGTGGCGTCCCCATTTTACGGATGAAGAAACAGAGGCTCCAAGTGGCAAGAGGGCTGCGCCGCCCGGGAGAAGACTCCGGGGGACTCTTTCGCTCCTTGGTCTGTGCCCGGTCCCGCCGCGGCAGGGGAGTCAGGGCCCACAGCCCGGGGTCTGGGGCCACGAGGGGCGGCTCCCAAGGTCACACCGCACGGACGCCGGCCCTCCCCGCGAATGCTCACCGGCTGCTCCCGGGGGCCGCGCCCTCGGGCGGCGGATTCGGGGTGGGGTTGGGGACTGCGTCGGGCGGGCCCGGGCGGACGACAGCAGGCGCAGTTCCCAGCCCCGCCGCGGCCATGCCGCGGGACACGAGCCCCATTTCCGCCGGCTCCCAACGTTGCCGCGCGACGGTCCAGCCCCCAAAGGCGCTCGGGCTGCCCGCCGGCCTTGCCCGAGCGTTCCATGCACGCAAAGTTCCTGTCTCCGGAGCTCGTGGCCAGCGCACGCAGCGTCCTTGTTTCCCCCTCTACAGAACATCCTTGTCTCCCCACAGCCTCCTTGTTCTTCACATCCGCAGCGTCTTTGTCCCTCCTTGCAGCATACTTGTGCCTCCCCAGTGTCCTTGTGGCCCCTCAGCGTTCTTGTACCCCCTCCAATCTGTCCGCAGCAACCCCAACTCCCCTGCCTTCCAGTTCCTTCATCTTCCCACTGTTGTCAAATCTCCCGGGGTTTTCAAATCTGAGGGACCCAGACTTTTGAGGTTCTCCCACCCTCCCAGGATGAAAGGACCCCTAGGCCCTAAGTGTTATCTCAGAAATAGCTGCCTCCCCGGCCCCAGGCTGGCCCCTTCAAACATTGGTATCCGGTCGCTCCCAGATCCCGTCCTCCCCCTCCCCCTGCCTTCCCCACAGACAAGTGGGCTAGGAAGTTGCTGGGCCCTAGAGGATCAGCCCAGAGGCTTCAGGCATCTGATCTGATGGTCAGGAGGCTTCCCTGGCTTCTTCTGCTCCTGAGTACAATCACCCTAACACCAGCAGCAACACCTATTGAGCATGTATGCTTTACATGGACCCACTTCATCCCTCTACCCACAGGGTCTGGGAAGTTTGGAGAGAACCTTATCAGAGATGAATGGCCTAAAAAAACACAGACCCCAGTGTCCTGGTGATAGACAGGAGCACCCCTTTATCAGCCTTCAGTGACAGGACTAGGGACTGTCCCCTCCCTCTGAAGGCCCCTTGCTGGAACTAGGAATCTGGCTGGGCACCAAACTCAGTCACCGCACATTTTCCCACCCTTTTGGGCCTTATTTGCCTGCAGTGTTTTTTTGTGTGTGTGTGTGTTTTTAAATATGTTTTTGTTGATTTTTAGAGAGAGAGGAAGGGAGAGAGAGATAGAAACCAATGAGAAAGACGCATGGATTGGCCACCTCACTGCATGCCCCCCACTGGGGATCGAGCCTGATACCAGGGCATGTGCCCTGACTGAGAATCAAACAGGGATCTCTTGATCCATGGGTCTATAATCAACCACTGAGCCACACCAGCTGGGCTGCCTGTTGTTGTTTATTTTATCCTCACCTGAGGACATTTTTTCCATTTTTTGTTCAGATAGAGTGGGAGGGAGGGGGAGAGAGAGAGAGAGAGAGAGAGGTGAAAGGGACACATCGAGTGGCTGCCACCCACACGACCCAACCAGGGCCGGGGACAAACTGCAACCAAGGTACGTGCCCTTAGCGGGAACTGAACCCGGGTCTTTCTGGACCACAGGCCGACGCTCTAACCGCTGAGCCAAACCGGCCAGGACCTGCCTGTTGTTTTTAAGCAGGCTTGACCACTGCCTGAAACCCTCCCAGCACTCCCACTCATGAGTTTGGAGCTCTTTAGGCCTGGTTTACAGAAGAAAAATGAATGATCAGACAGCCTGTGGACAGTCTTACATGGAAGAAGTGGCCAGGGCCATGGAGGCTCCCAACCCAAACATGTGACACCCCAGGACACCTCCAGGGTATCCCCTCCGGCCTCCCACTTACCTCAGCTAGGCCCAGAGAGGCTGCAGGAGGCTGAGAACCTGGGATGTCTCTGAGGAAGGAGAATTGTGAGGGGCCACACCCCTGCTCAGGCCACCCAACCCAGCCGCACCCTCCCTGCCTGCCTGTGACTGATTATGAGACTGGGACTGGGGCACCTGGAGGGAAATCCTGCCTGGGTAAGTGCTGGCAGCTAGCCCAACACACCGAAGATCTCCAGGCTTCAGCTGCTGGCCCCAAAGCTCAGGCCTTGTGGGCCCTGAGCCAGCAGACCAGAGCCTGAGTGGACATGGGAGCCGTGAGTGCTGGGGCACGGGGAACTGGGCATGGAGAGGGCCCAACTTTGGAGGCCAGGAGGCAGCTGATTTGTGGCTGCTGACAAAGTCTGAATTCTCTCCAGGAAGAAGACAGGAGGCCAGCCCAGGGCCTGCCCCACTAGGTGCTCAGCAAATGTACAGGATCATGAAGGCATGGCTGGCATCTCTGGAGGACTCCACCACCCTGAATATTCCTCTCATGGTAGTCTGGGGACCTGGGGGCAGGACCCATCCACAGAGAGGGGGCTGCTGCCATCTAAGCCCACCTGGTCAGGTCAGCTATGAGTGTTACTGGTACATCTGTCACCGTGAGTCTGTCACCATGAGCTGGCCCTGGGGCACACAGGCCATGCCCATGGGCTGCCCCAGCCCCTTGAACACCAAGCAGATGGGTGCCCCAACCCGAGAGAGAGGGTCAACCTGGTGTTGCTGCTTGTTTGCCGTAATAACATTACCCTCCGAATCAGTGTACACACCCACCAGAATGCCAAAGCCCCCCATCCCCGAGGAGCCCAGGGGCTGGCTGGCACTTCTCAGTCACGACAAAGCCACTGTCAGACACCAGCCCCACCCAGCAGAGGCCCTCCAGACCCAGCATGGAGGCTGGGATCAGCAGCTCCAAGGTGGGGCCCAATGTGAAGCTGTGTACAGCCCCAAGCACATAGTCTGTTACCAGGAAGCAGCCAAGGGCATCCACAGCCAGCCCCCAAGGGGCCAGGAAGATTCCCATTGTCACCCGGTGGCCTTGGGGCACTTGGGAAGTGTGCTGGAGTGCATGGGTAGCCCTGTGGACAAGGTCACTGACCTCCATAAGCCCAACAGCTGTCACAGTCACATCCTCTGGCACAAAGTCCCCGACCCCTGGCACTCAGCAGGGCAGGTGGCAGAGAGTCCCTCAAGGTCCAGCACATAGATGCAGGGAGCAAACTCAGCTGTCAGAGCAGGCCATCGGGGAGCAGTGCAGACCCTGGGCCCCTCCAGCCCCTGCAGGCACTGGGATCTGCCTGAGCAGCCAGGAGTGAGCGGGTCTCCAAGCTGATCCAGTGCGATGAAGGCCCTGGGGAGCACCTGGGCAGCTGGTGGGGGAGGCCCAGAGGGTCAGAGCAGGAAGCCAGAGGGTGGGCGTGCTGGCTCAGGCTCTCTGAGTCAAGTTACTATGGTTGGGCCAAGTTTGGGGCTGCTAAAGAAAAAATGTCCTGCTGGCCAGTGTGGCTCAGTGGTTGAGCATCGACCCATGTATCAAGAGGTTGCCGGTTCGATTCCCGGTCAGGGCACATGCCCAGGTTGTGGGCCAAATCCCCAGTGAGGGGCATGCAGGAGGCGGCCAACTGATGTTCTCTCTCGCCCATGTTTCTATCTCTCTCTCCCTCTCCCTTCCTCTCTCTCTCTAAAATCAATAAAGAAAAATAAATTAAAAAAGAAACAATGTGTCTGGCTGGTGTGGCTCAGTGGTTGAGCGTGGACCCATGAACCAAGAGGTCACCAGTTCGATTCCCGGTCAGGACACATGCCCAGGTTGTGGGCCCAATCCCCAGTGGGGGGCATGCAGGAGGCGGACAATCAATGTTCTCTCTCATTGATGTTTCTATTTCTCTCTCCCTCTCCCTTCCTCTCTCTCTAAAATCAATAAAGGAAAAAAAATAAAAAATAAAAGAAAGAAAGAAAGAAAGAAACAATGTCCTGCTGTGTGTCAAGCAGCAACTACCTCTGTTCCCCTGTGCCCTTCCAGGCAGTGCTGGTGTTTCATTTTACAGCTGAGCAACTGAGGCACGAGGGTGGGGGTGGGGGTAGGGAGAGCTGGATTCAAACTCAGTTCCGCCAAGTCCTGAGTCTGGCTCGCTCGCAGTAAACCCAGCAACCAGCTGTGTCTCTAGGTCCTATTTTGCGATCCTGGAATACAATTCTGGGAGACATGGACCCATGAAGGTTGCTGTGGGTTTTGCTCTGAGGCCTGAATGAGTTTGTGGGCATTGAGAAGTCCCAAGGTGGGGGTGGGGGTGACAGAGTGGTTCTCAATCTCATCTGCCCATGAAACCCTTCCTTCCTTTAGGCAGAGAAAGTGATTCTTGTCAAGGACAGCCCAAGGCCCTGCCCACTGGCCCCACACAGTCCCTGGAGGCTTCTAACCCCTGAGGGAAGAGGCAGGGGTCCTGTCCTAGGCCTCTCCACCTGTCCTTACCCAGGGAGGCCAGCGGGAAGGGTCTTCCACCTGGGGCCAGGCCCCGGGTCCTGCTCCAGCAGCAGCCTCTGTTGTTGGAAGCTAGAGCCTGAGGGCGTAGGAGGGCCACCTTGACATGGGCAAAGTAGGAGGGGGCAGAAGCCACTGGGCCCTATGGAGTCCTGACATTCAACCGCCTAACACCGGGGACTCCCCAGTGCTGCTACAGTCCTGCTTTGGGGCCTTTGCACTGGCCTCTGGGACATTCTTCCTGCTGCCCCTGCTAAGCTGGATGCCAATCATGGTCAGTGCAACCCCTCCCCAGGGAGGCCCCCACAACCATCCACACCCCAGACCTCTCTGCAGTGTAAGTCACGGGCTTGCTCTTCAGAAGGCTCTGAGCAGAAATCTGCAGATGAGGTGGCTCCAACCACCTACCCCCAGCAGGACCAGAGAGTCCAGGGTGGAGCACTTCCAGGGGTCCATCTTGTCCCTCAACCCCTAGACTAGGCAGATTGGGTCCTGTCTCTCTGATCCCATTTGTGCACCCGTAAAGCTGGGGTGATCTCCCCCAACAGAGCCAAGTTCACATCTGCCCTGTGGGTGATGAGAAATCAGGAAGCAACAGACACGACACCTGCAGGTGCCAATGAGAGGCTGAAGGCGCGGGACCTGGGGTTCTCTGGACACTTCCTAACTCAGCCCACAACCCCTGAAGCTCCTCTAGAAAGCTCCTGGAAGGTGGAGGGTCAGCCTCTGTCTGTGACTCACAGCTCTCTCCACCTGGCTGGCCTGCACCCCCCTCTCCGGACACTGGCTCTTAACGCCCCTTGGTGGGGAGGGTGGCCGATGCTATCTGCTGCCCGGTGCAGTTAATGGGGCAGCCACAGGTCCTGCTCCGACTGGCCCCAGCCCGGCTGGCCCAGCTTGGGGGAGCCAGGCACAGGCAGGAACTGCCTTCCCTGGGGCCATTCCTGAGTGGGCACAGAGGTATGGCCAACTCCCAGGGAGAGAAGTGATTAGCTGATCCAAGGGTCTCCTGGGAACCCCTCCCTCCCTGCCCCCCACCCCCGCCTGTGGGAAAGGCCATGCTGGGAGGGAGGCAGCGAGCTGTGAAGGCCACCTGATGCCTATCATGGCTGCAGGGGCTGGCGGGGGCCCAGTGGAGGCCATGCTGGGCAAGCAGCCCTGGGCCACAGAAAGTGGAGAGCACCTTTTAACCACAGTGGGATCAGCCTCCAGCATGAATCTGACATTAGGGCTGCCCTACCAGACATGGGGGCTGGAGGCATGCCTGGAGGGCCCTGCCCACCACAAATGTGCTGAAACACAGGTCTGACCAGCCCCCTGGCCACATGCACCTGCTTCTTCTTGCTCTGCCCCTTCCGATGGAAAGCCCCCCACTCTATCCCCAGACTCTGCCCCCCGCCCCAGGGAGAGCCCAGCTTACAGGAAGCAGGTCAGGATATGAAGGTGGACACCTGGCAGGGAGGCCCTGGACACTGCCCACCCCAGATGCCACGCCGGGTACATTTCCGCAGGGGGAAGGTGTTCCCGTGGTGAGAGAACAGCAAGGGAAAGAGGAGGCTCAGACAGGGTGTGTGAAGGTGGTTTCTATTTTAATGTCCACAGCTGTGATCAACAAAAAGCCGTGACTCTGCTGTCCTTGTGCGGCCCCAGAGACAGGCCACGGCCATGGTGGGTGGGGTCTGTTCACGGGCATGCTGGGCAGGCTGCAGGCCTCACCCCCAGGGGCTGAGGCAGGTGGGGGACCAGGTGGTGGGCATGGGGTTGGGGAAGGACCTCTGTTATGGACAGAAGTGGCAGCAGGGGCTGTGGTCAGACCTCGGCACCTGGGGAACTCTGCAGGCCAGAGACAGCCTCAGGGGGCCAGGAGCCCCTAGCCCTCCCACGGGGACCCCAGCTGCTGCCAGGAATGACAGGGTCATCTGGGCCTTGGAGAGAGAGACCCGGGGGTGGGACACTGGAGTCAGCCTCACACTTGGTGGTATGGCTAGAGAAAGGCTCAGCCACTGTGGGGCCCAGCATTCTGGGTGGCTCGGGGGTTCCCCGGGCCAGTATGGAACCCAGCTCTGGTTGCTCCCAGGACCCTGAGGACACTTCAGGTACCTTGGAGGGCGTCCGTTTCACAGAGAGGTCGAGGGGCACATCTGGGGGCCGCACAGTCTGCTCTAGCACCTGGTGGATGGTGAGCAGCTCCCTGCGGATCTTGCCCAGCTGCTCCCGCAGAGGCCGTGGGGCCAGACCCCTGGCAGGTGCCAGCTGCCCCAGGCGCTGCTCCACCCTAGCATAGTCGCCGAGAGCCCGTGTCAGGTCCTCACACACATGCCCAGGACCCCCCAGCACCAGGCCCGATGGCTGCTGGGGCAGGGGGGAAACAGGACCCAAGGTCTCCGGGTCGTCTGGCTCCTTGTCCTCAGGCCAGAGAATCACGGAGGGGCCATTCCGCAGGCTAGGGAGTAGGAGCCAGTCAGAAGGTTGTGCTGTACCCCCAGTAACCCCAGCCTCTGCTCCACTCCCCCTTGAGATCCCTGTGCAGTCTGTCTCCTTGGCCTAGAGACTCGGGACCCCAGAGGACAGACAGGCTGGCTCTCTGATCTTAATCTCTTCTCTGTGGCCTGAAGCCCATATTCGTGGACACTAAGTCAGGACAGGGGCCCAGCACTCCTCCCCCAACCCCAACCGCCCCCACTCACAAGACTGGGGGACCCTGAAACCTACCTGCTCTGGGATCCAAAGTTGGCCAAGCTGGAGGGGGCTTTTGAGGGCTCCAGCCTGCTTCCCGGGGGCAGCTTCCTCTTGGGGTCACTCTGGGCAGCCAGCTCCAACCCTCCCTCCTGCCCTGGGTCCCTGGGGGCACCACAGGGCCAGGGTCCACCCAGCCCAGGTACTGGGATTTTCAGCAGCCCAGGGACCAGAGTCCCAGGGGGTCCCTTAGGAGGGGCAGGGGACTTGGCAGGGGCAGCCTTGCCTGCCTGCAGCCCCAGGCTATGCTCCAGGAGCAGAGGGTAGTACAGGCGGGGGAAAGGGGTTGGGCGCTCGGGGGGCTGCAGGGCAGGGAAGGCAGAGGTTGGAGTAAGCAGGGGGCTGGCAGAGCCCAGGAAGGGCATATGGGTCGCAGTGGCCAGGGAGGGCCCTAGGTAGGAAAAGAGGCTGGGGCCAAGGGGGTAGTTGACTCCCAGCAGGGACAGCTGGAGGCTCTGGGCCTCAGGGAACTCACTGGAGGTGGGCGGAGGGTAGCAGGGGACACCGCTCTCGGGGCCCACTGCTGCTGAGTCTACCACAAACATGCTCCTGGGGCCCCTGCCTGGCCCTGGCTTCCATGATTCAGCCAGGAGCCCGCCAAGGCCTGCACCCTTCTGGGCATCCTTGGCTGAAGGGGTTGGCGTCCCTGGGGACCCCTCAGCCTCTGGCTTGGGGCCCCCTACACGGCGGTGCAGGGAGAGAATGTCAGTGACAATGAGGTCGGGTGTGGCGGGAGCATCTGGGAGCTGAGCTCTTCGGGTACGCCTGCCAGGTTCTGTGGGGTCAGAGGGGCAGTCTGTGGTGGGCTCAAGGGGCCGGGGTGTGGCAGGGGCACGGCGGCATGCCCAGTCAGGGGAGTCAAGCAGCAGCGAGAGGGAGTCCTTGCAGAGGCTGTACTTCATGTGGTTGTACAGGTGCGACTTCTCCAGGCAGGTGAACGGGCATTGGAAACACTTGTAATTGTAGGGCTTGCCCCAGGGCCTCGGGATGTAGTGTGGCTTCTTGGGCTTCCGTGCCCGTGCCCGTGCCCCAGAGCCCAGGCGGCATGAACCCGCCACCTCTCGGGACATGGCAGCCTGCTAGCAGACAGGCCACAGCACCATGGCCACCTGCAGACAAGGGGTCCTGGGTCAGTGCCTCTGTCAGCTCCCAGAGCTCCAGGGGTAGAAGCCAAGCATGGCACTGCCTCTACCCTGCCGCCTGGGCTTCCCTGACCTTTGCACATGCAGCCCCTTGACCTCAAATGCTCTCCCACTTTGCCCTTCAGTTCCTCCCCACGCACATGTCTAGGGCCACTAGGCGTAGCTGATAAAAATGCAGGGTGCCCAGTTACATCTGACTCGAGTAAATGACAAATACTTTTTTTAGTATCAGCATAATCTAGCCAATATTGGAATGTACTATAAAAAGTATTTGTTTACCTGAAATTTAAGTTTAACTAGGCATCCTGTATTTTATCTCCACCTCAGGCCCCGCTAGCCCCAGCAGGCCCAGTTCTGGGGTGATTCCATCAGGCCTGTTTCTGTCTATCCTATGGGCACTGGTGAGTGACTGGAAGCCAAGTATGACCAGGCCTGTTCCTGGGGGACATCAGCTCCACCTTGTCTTACTCCCCTCCAGAGGCCCCCTGCCCGTGCCAGGAAGCTGAGATAAAAGCCACTGAGCTGAGAAACTGGCAGAAGGCTCTGAGCCCTCGTGTGCACACGAGTGTGTGTTCCTGCTGGTACTGAAGGTCTCTGAGGGGGTCAGCCTCACGTGGGGCTAGGCCAGGCTGGGGGGCGTGGACGTCGCAGCATGGCCCCACAGCACAGCCACCTGCTCAGCCTGGCTCCATCTGGGTGGCTTCGGGCAGGTCAGCAGCCGAGCCTGCAGTTGCCGAGCTCAGCCAAGACCTCTTCCTCTCTCCATGCCCTGCATGTTCACTCAGAAGCCTCTCCGCACTCCATCTGGGTTGCCACCTGGGCTGTCCACCACCCTGGCGTGTGCCTGCGTGGGGCACAAGGAGAGTGTGTGCACACACGCACATGAGGCTCTAGACGAGCCCTCACTCGGTACCTGGAGGAACAACCTCTGCAAGGCTGGGCTGACTCGGAACAAAGTGGACCACCAAAATGCACGGAGGCTGGGCACAAGCACACACGAGACTCACACCACACTCAAAGTGGACACGGTAGTTGCATATGAATGCACGCACAGCACAGGGGGGCTGTGAACAGGCACTCAGACACATTCAGGCACAATGTGCCCACACATGCATACATACTACACACCCAAGAACACACATGGTCACAGACACGCTCATGGATGTGGACAGACACACTCGTCCTGCTACCCAGGGCTCAGGGACGGCCAGTGGGTTAGGCAGGGGAGCTGGGGCAGCTGGCAGCCACAAAGAGCAGGTTGTTCTCTCTGATGGCCTTTGGGCTCTGTACATGGCAGGCAGTCATGTCGGCTGCCCTCAAACATTGGGTAGGTACCCCCATTATAGGGCCAGCCAGAGGGTAGAGAGGGTTGTCCATCTGAACAGGCCTCTGGGGGTGGGTCAGCATGGTCAAGGCCAGGATGTAGAAGGCAGGGCAAGCAGAGATAAGCTGACTGGTTTACGGATATCCACATCTGGGAGGGGTGGGGATCCAAGAAGGGTACAGAGGTTGGGGGAGGGGGTTGGGCCCAGGAAAGGTCTTGGGGGTCCCAGAGAGGCTGAAGACCACCCTGGACTT